GGTTATTGTTTTGCATATTGTGTAGTTGACAGGAGGCTGCATTTTTCTTGTAGTTAGTAGGAAACTAAATCCAGGTTACCAGGATTGAAGCTGTTTAAATGAGCTGACCTCTGGGAAGAGGACATTAGTGAAGCAACAGCCATCTGTATGAGACCTGCATAAATTCTTAAAGCTGACAGCTGTGCTTTGTACAATCCTATTCCAGCACTGTGTTTACATGTTAACGTGTTAAATGACTGAACAATGTGCTGGGCTTCCTTCAGAAAGGAGCAAAGTTAAGTGCATGCACAAATGACCTTGAAGAATCATTGTACTTTCATTCAGGGGCTTCTATAAATGCTAGGTTTTCAAAAGCTGGTGTTACATGTCAGTACTGTTTCCAGCATGTTACCTTCGTAGTCAGATTTGTCTCACTAGGGTAGGGTTTGTTGGTAGGGAAAGCAATAGAGGAGGTAGTAGGACTATTATTTTAAATCCTGCACCAGCCCTGGAATCTGTAGCTGAAGTGGAGATGGGTCTGTTTTATCAGAGTTGCATACCACAGCTGGTATGTGTGGGTCAGTACACTTTGGAATCTGACAAAACGGCTTTATTGTGCTACGCTTGGTTAGTTAATGTGTCTGTATCTAATTACATTATAAATCTGTTTCTCAGTGGAACATGCATAAATTACTGGTTGCTGTTCAAGTGCTAAAGAAACTAATATGCCAGTGTTACCACAGATGCTGTGAACTCCTTGCAGGTAAAATGTTTAAAAGCTTTTCCAGTAGAACACAGGAGGTTATAAAAATCAAGGGATTTATATGACTTAGTGCTTTGTCTCTTGCAGGCTAAGACTCTTTCTGCATGTTGGATATAGGCAAGCAAGATGTCTACTGTGATGCAGGAGCCTGCCTTTACTTCCCAACTTGCCCAACAAAGTTTATAGCTCACTGTCTTTCACCAGACAGGAAAACAAAATATGTTACGCGTACTTAACTTGAGAGAATCTTTCCGTATCTGAAATTCCCTACACAATTGTTGCAGGACTCCTACATGTTGCTTGTATCATATTTCATCCAAAGAAATGTTGTAAAAGGGCTGTAAAATAGCATTAAGTTTATTACTGCCTTATGAAACTTGCGGGCATTCTTGATTTGGGAAAACAGGATTTTTTTTTAAGAGTGAAATTACCTTGTTTGACCTCTTGTTACTGCATGCTTTAGTTTGAGATGAAGGAAATATCTCTTGGCATCTGTATGCTGTAGAAGAATCAGGTTGTTTTGTTGTCTTGCTTCCTCTTGGAAGGAAAGCTGTAGAAGCTCACCTACTGGGTTCTATAAGCAAATGTTACTGTCTTCAGAATTTAGTTTGTTGGCTTTTTAGGTGTTCTGTTTTCTTGGCACCTTCCCCAATTCCACTGAGTAATACAGTGCATCTATGAGTAATGCTGCTGAATTATTTAAGACTATTAAGAGGTTTAGTGTGGTTGCTGGAAAGTTACCATGAGGTTAACTGCTCCCCTGTGGAGCTTTTTCGGTTCTGTATATGTTTGTCAGAATTGTTCATCAAAGAGGAAGAAGAATATCAAATTCAGTCTTGTACCTTATAATCTTGTGTTCCCAGATGTCTCAGTTTCTGTACCCTGCTTGTCAGGTTCTTGGTTTTACACTGGAGCCTGATTCTGTTATAACTGCTAATCTGTAAGAATAAGAATTATTTGTGAGGGTCTTTCAGCCAGCTAGCAAAAAAAGTTACTTCAAAACCTTAGTTATTTCTTCTAGTAGCTAAATAATTTATTGAGCATAACTCTATATGTATAAAATGCATAAACATGTACTCTTCTGTGTCAGCGGTAAGAATTCAAAAGATACAATTAATAAAAGTGAAAAATAAAAAAAAAAAGTGAAATTATCACAGTTTTGGGCTCACTGGCCATTCCAGACTATTTCAGCACTTAGAGCTGTCGTTGATTAGAGATTGCATGAAAACCATGAGAAATGCTTCATCACAAATGTTCTGTTGTTTCAATTATCTAATTCTCAGATATCAAGTCTGCATTGAACTATCTGTGCATAACGCTTGTGGTGCAGATTGAGCATTGCTCTCTGTTACTGACAGCAACTATTGGTGTTTTTACTTCTATTAAAATTAAATTTTACAAATACTCTTCCAATGTATTAAGTAAAAAAAATGGAGTTTCAAGCAAAATTTATAGGAAGCTTTGCAAAAAAGGCTGTGTGTAAGTATGTGTAAGTGTGCATATGTGTGCAGACATATATTTTTATATATGCATGTAGATATATTCTCCTGCTTCTACTTCTTTGCTCTCCCTAGGTTTTAGTTTTGCCTAGAGAAACTTTTCTGCTTTAGGATCAAATATTTTTAGTTTTTCTAATTGAGCATGAATTATGAATCAGTAGCATACCACCTTCTATTTACGGGTAGTTTTTCCTGTGTGGTCTGGTGCTTTGGTCCTTTCTGTAAAGTCTCTGATTTAGTAGGACTGTGGCTTTTCTTCCTCAGAAATGCAGATTTCCTGATGTATCAGTGGCTGGCTTCACAGTACTGAAAATCAGATACATACAATGTTTTTGACTTTAAAAGAAAAAGAAAAATATCTTTTTTATCCCGGAGAATTTATACAAGAGAGTCTTGGCTGCGTATCATTTCTAATACAGGTTTTTCTTAATGCATGATTTTTCCTTGAGCAAAATTCATTTCAAAAGATAGGTGAAAGACAAAGATTGTGTTTTAATTAAAAAGCTTTAAAGCACTTTTTTTCAAATAAGTTGCCATTTTCTAGGTTTTGCTTGTATTGAAAGGTGGTAATGTGGTTGTCATTCATAACTAGGCATTATCATGACCTATCTTGCTTGAATTTACACCATTGATTTTGGTGTATATTGCGTAAAGTTTACTGTATTTGTACTGTATAAGCTTTTTATTTTTTTCCAAATAATAAGGGTACTCTGTCATATTGTTTTCAATATTGTAGACATTTCACAGTACTTTTGAAATGGTTTGGAGGAATTAGAAATTACTTGGTTGTAATATTCATGCTGATAGATGAATTGATGCATGAATTTTGTCACAGGAATGAAAAGAACAGCTCTAAATCTTTACTTAGGTTTGTGGGTTAAAAGCTGCCTTCCTTCTCCCTGTGATACCATCTAATAAGTCAGCTGAAACAGGTTGCCCATGACCACATTCAGTCAAGTCTTGCATATCTCCACATATAGAAACCCTCCAGGCAACCTGTTTCAGTGTTTGACCATTATTGCAGCAAAAAGGTGTTTTCTTGTGTTCAGATGGAATTTCATGTACTTTGATTTGCTTTTTGTCCTGTCACTTGGCTTTGCCATCCATCTTCTCTCTCTGCCATTGGGTATTTATATTGACAAGGTCCTCACTGAAACTTACCTCTCCAGGCTGACCAGTCTGAGTTCTCAGGCTCTCCTCATAAGAAAAATGCTCCAGTCATATATCAGATTCATAGACCTTTGCTGGACTTGCTCCAGTATGTCTATGCCTGTCTTGCACTGGGGAGGTGAGAACAGTCCTGATGTGTCCTCACCAGTGCTGAGCAGAAGGGAAGAATCACCTTCCTTGACCTGCTTTCAACATTTACCCTAATGCAGCCCAGGTTAGTACAGGCCCTCTTTACCTTAAGGGTGGATTGCTGGCTCATGTTCAACTTGCTGTCATAGAGGACCCCAAAGTTCTCTGCTGAGCTGCTTTTCAGCCAGTTAGCAATTTGCCAGTATCTCCCAGTCCTTCTAGATGAGGGCACAGCCATCTGGTCTGTCATCCACTCTGTCCAGTTTTGTCAGTAGGTGGAGTGACCTTGGGTTTGTCTAGCCAAGGCTCTGCAAACTCCAAAGAATGGAGACTCCTCCCATGACCTACATGATGACCTATCCTAGGGTTGTGCTACAGACCAGTGGAAGAAGGTTCCCCAAATGTTCCACTTGGATCTCTCAAGCTACATCTTAGATCTGTTTCTCCTTATGGCATCTTCTAACACTGCACAAGAAGGGCTCTGACTGCTCCACAGGCAGCTGAGAGCTGCTGTCACATCTCCCTCTTGGCCTTCTCCTTACCAGAGTAATAAAACCGTCTCTTCTTCTCATAGACCCTTGGACTTTGCTGTCTTGGTAGCTCTGCACTGGCTTTCCAGTTCTATGAACTAGCTTGCTCCTACTTTTAGGGAGTGCACAGACCAGTCATGGATAGGACCCACCTCTTGGTAGAATCCTACTGCAAGGGTGTGGTCTCCTTGGGGCCAGCGTGAAGGCCTGACAGCTTGCCCCTTGATTTGCTAGCTGTGCTTCCCCTTACAAAACCCTGTTTCTGGTTTGCTGTATTCATGAGGGCAGTATATTGTTTTTTTAATGAAGTTTCAACATGTTTATTTTTTATAAGACCAGTGTTAGTTTACAGAAATACATGTTTTTTAATACAATGTGAGCTAAGGTCTAGTTACCAGTGCTTTTGTTTAGTGTTCTTACTCTAGTTCTAGCTTATTTTCTGCTGGTATTCTGTTCTTACTCTAGTCCTAGTAGTTTTTTGCTGATATTCTGTAGAGGTAACTTCAAAGAATTTTTTATTAGGATATTGTACTGTGGTATTTATTTTTTTTGTGAACTTTATATCTTCACATTTCACCCATGAAGGTTCTAACTACACAAATTTCTGTTCTGCAGGTTCAGATCACAGCTCCTTGTAAGTGTGCTTTACACACACTGTCAGGGATGGTGTGCTTCCTGTAATCTGGCTCTATGCAAGCTAGGGAAAGTTGGTGGAGGCATGGTACTGTGTGTGCTACAGTTGTTAGCCAGAGAAAACTTGCTTCCAGACAGTTACCAAATGTACAGTTTAGAGTCTTGTGCAAGCTTGCCATCTGTAAAATTATGTGGCTGTTAAGGACTGGATGGAAGTTGAATGCTCTAGAATTACTGACTGTAATGATAAGGCATGGTTAGCAGTGATGCTGATGCAATTTTCTTTCTTGCCAACAGAGTTTCAGAAGCAGGAAGGCATGAAGTCCCATCAGAAAAACATGCAGCTCTATGACACACCCTATGAACCAGAAGGCAGTGGTGTGGAATCAGATTCTGAAAGTGTGGTGAGTCACCATTTACGAGAAAGCAAATTGCCACAGGATGATGACAGGCCTGCAGATGAATATGATCAGCCATGGGAGTGGAACAAAGTCACCATCCCAGCTCTGGCAGGTAGGATTCCTAGATCCTAACCAGGAAGTTCTCTCCTTCATACTTGCCTTGGGAGAATTAAAGTGTTTCTGCTCTTCTAGTGTGTGTGTGTGTGTGTGTGTGTGTGTGTGTATGTATGTGTAGGTCTCTGGAAAGGAAATGTGGGTAGTCTCAATTCTTTACCTGTTGCAGAAATGTGGACCTTTTGTATAGTTCTTCAACTGACCTGTTGTCAATCACGTCAGCACTCCTTGCCCCTACCCCCATTTTAATGGATGTGATATATAGTGTTCATTCTTCAGTGGCTCTAAGACAAGGGAGTTGCTTTCCAAAATCCTTAAATTGTGGGGCAGTTCTTAAAGGGACAGGACAAAAAAACAGTGGAGTAACGTGCATGCAGTAACATACTTTTACTCAGTGATGAGTTTCTTGGTATTTAGAGTATTTTGTTACAATTGCAAGCATTTCTTTGGATATACTAGATTAATGGTTGGACTGGGTGGTCTTAAAGGTCTTTTCCAACTCAGATGATTCTATGATTTAATGTAGAACTTGGTTTTGGATTAATCCCTTTGAACTGCTGAAGTTCTCCCATATCAGAACTTGTCAGTCAGGGATATATGACAAAAAATGTTTTCTGTCTCTGTTAATGCCTGTGCTTGGTGTTGGTTAAACTGCTCTTTTTTCTTTTATTTTTTTTTCCTTTTGTTGCTTTGCAGGAATGGTTATGGGGGGCTTCGTTCAGTGAATATGTGATTCTGGGGCTTTTTCTGTCAAACAGCCTTTATATGCCCAGCAAAGCCCAGCTGTATCAGTTTGTCTGACTATGTTCCAGGGTGCTCTTGTAGGGTGCTAGAATCATACATGCTCAATGATTTTCTCCTCAGTCGTATATTCTTGTGAAAAGCTGTGTCTAGGATCAAGGTTGTTCCCCATCGTTTTTAGGAGTTAGCTTGGCAGAAAGCTTGGAAAGGAAAGTTGTATGTGGTGATGGTTGTGGGGATGAGGAGGGAAGAAATGTGATTCTGGGAGGGAGCATGGGAAGAATCCTGAGAGCAATGATTAGTAGTCAGCATGCATTTGCCCTGGGTAATTCCTGCTTGCTTTCTGCATTGAAACTGCTAGATATGTTAATAGAAAGAGAGTAGTAAGTATCGTCTATGTCGAACTTCAGCCTGCAGCATGCTGTGCTGTAGCATCAGCTGTGCTAGCTGATTTGAAATGCTGTAGCCTAGAAAGGTGGACTACTAGATGCATGAAAACCTGTCAGTGTCACTGACCTCAAAGGGTAGTGCTTAATGATTCATATTCTTCCCAGAGTTTGGTTAGAAGTACGATTCTTCAGGGGATCTCTTCTGGAACTCTTCCTGTTTAGCATCTTTATCAGTAACCTGGAGGATGAGGAGAGGGAATGTGCCTCATCAAGTTTGGAATGATATCAAATGGGGAGGGGGTGTGTGTGCAGAGCTGTCATTCAGAGGAACCTGGACAGACTGGAGAAATGGGCTGACAACAAGCCTATAAGATGCAACCAGGACAAACTCCCTGCAATGGTATGGACTGAAGACTGGCTGACTTGCTGGGTTCCAGCTTTGCTACTAGGGGTTAAAGAGTCCTGGGGGAAAAGGGACTAAATGTGTGGTGAGAACTGGACTTGCTTAGCCTGTAGAAGAGAAAGTTTTGAGTGTATGTAGTATCAGCTTTCCAATGCCTATGAGAAGAACTTTGAGAAAGTGGAGCCATATTCTTCACAAATGAGCAGGTGTGATGGGAAAATGAGACATGTTGAATCAGGAGAGGTTCTGACTCAATACTGGAAAGTTTTTTTCATCTGCAAGGACAGTCAAGCATTGGAACAAATTACCCAGGAAGTCCTTACAGTCTCCATCTTCAGATTTTTTCATCCTGTGTGGAGGGAGGACTGGATAAAGTTTGGAACAACCTGATGTGATCACATAGCAGACCCTGCCTGGAGCAGGTTGGGTTCGACACCTGCCACAGTGCCTTTCCACTTGAGTTATTCCATGATTTTGCAGTTCCATGTGCCATGATATTGCCACACTGCAGAAATGAAAACTGACTTCTCTACACAGCTACAAAGGGCCACTGTTCTGTGAACAGAGTTTCTTATGTCTGTACCCTTTTTGAGCGTTTCTGACTTGTTCCCCTAATTGGTAGGTGGATGTGGACGACAGAAATGTGGTTCTTTATTAGCACAGTGGAGTAGTGGTGTGGTGATCTATTGTAAGACTGATTCTGCCTCTCTGCTTCATTTGCTCTTACAACTTCAGGTTGTGGTTGATTTGGGTTTGTTGCCAAGCCAAGTTGATATCTGCAGTATCCATCCTGTGAAATGTGGGTGGGAAAGACAAAAGGATGAAACTAAAGCAGCTGCTTAAAAAGAAACTTCTTGTTCAGCATTCCCTTTCCCATTGTTGGGCTCCTATGGAACAGAAGAGAAGGTTAGAAAAAAATGATTTCTGCTTTCTAGCAGCATGGTTTCCTCTGGCATGCGAGCTGTTAATAATTTTGCAGAGTTCCAGGCTCAGACACTTTCCCATTAAGCATATGCTGATAGTTCTTTCAAGGCTGGAATTAAACCAGCATCCAGTTCTATTGGATGCTGTGCTGGTAAAGTAGTCTCTTTCCCTAAAGAGCATGAACTCTAATACAGAAGTCTAACCTGCTTGTTTGTCTTCTAGTGTGTTACAAAGTTCTGCTGCTGAGCTCTGCCTGGTGGAAGCAGGCTTTGGCTTAGGCTTGCCAGAGCTCACTCAGCCCCTTTGCTGGACTTGTGCTGGGAGATTGCCTGGCTGTAACATCCTTGCTATGATTTGGGATAATCTGTTGTGTGTCAAGATAGGCTAATCAGGGACATGTATCACTAGGTTTCCAATGCCATAATTTTTTTTGCAGATGCTGATTATCAGTCTGGTGTATGTGTGTAAAGCCTTCTGCTTTGGGTTTATGCTATAGCACTGATGTCTGCCCCAGTTCAGTACTCATTTCCAAGCCTTTTCATGTGTCCCTAGGATGGCAGCAATGCTGCCTCTGCCTCAGTGAAGGCATATGTGAAGCCTCCAGCTCCTGAAAGATAAGCCTTAATATGCATCAACGTAGTCAACAGTAACTCTATTGTAGAGATAGGGTGTCTGCTGCCTGGAAGGATCAAAAAGTTACTCAGAGCACACATAGAGGCTGTGCAGAGCCACAGTCAGTGTATTTGCAGTGGGTCTTAGGCTGCTCTCCACATTTTTTTTCCAGGGAATTTCTCTATTCTCCATTCCAGATTCTGGAGAGTTTTCACCATTTTCCCTCTGCTGCATCTGCTCTTGTCCATCTTTCTTTTGTTTGTGGTCATCTTTTACCCTCTCTTATGTCCCACAGGATTGCATCTGTGTTTAGTCTCATTTGTCTTTCTAGCTGACACTTGTTGCCACTCTGTTACCTTCTTACAGCTCCTTGGGATTTCTCCCACCTTCAGACACCTACTCCCTATCACCCAAGGCTCTTTCGTGTTAGCTGTGTGTGCATTTCTGCCCACAGAGAAGAAGGATGTTGTGCTTCCTTATTCATACCCATTCTTCTAGACCTTCGGGCTAGGCCAGATGACATGGGAATGTCTGGGCTACCGTGACTACAGATTACAGTTGAAGAACTGCAAAGAGACTGAACAGTTAGTTCTTGCTGACTGTGTCAGCTGAAATGTTTCCAGTTATTTTTTGCCAATCTGTCCAGTGTTTGCTTGGCTGGAGGCATGTTCAGCCATTCTCATGTGTGTTCTTGAACGATTTGGGGTTAAAGCTACTTGAGAACAAAGAATATTTTGTTTGAAGATGAGAGGGTAAGCAAAGCCTTTGGACTGAATAAAAAAAAAAGACCATAGATGGCAGCGTGTCTTCTCTGTGACTCCTGAGCTCTGTGGCTGGGGCTGGCATCATGCTGACATTGTGGAGCAAGCTATGTACAGCCTTCCCCAGGGACTTCTGCTGTTAACTATAGTGCTGAAGATTTCTGTGTAGCAAAGCTGGAGTGCAGCATTTTGACTGTCTGAAGCTTGAATTCTTTAACAAACAAATTTGGTTTTATTTCCTTGGAGGCTGTACAGCTGAAGCTGAAATGTGGTTTTGTTGGCTTTTATGAGAATTGGGCAGGTCTTGTTAGACCTCTTGCTGAGCCAGGCAAACTAGTTTGCCTAGAAGAGCTGAAGCTGGCAAAGTAGCATGAGTGAAGTAGTTTTGTGGTACATCAGTCTGCCTGGGAAGGGAAAGCCCAGTTCAGGAATGTCAGGTTGATGCTGGCTCCCAAATGAGCCAATGAGGCCTTTCCAGGTTGTCATATGGGACAGCAAACCTTTGGGTAAAGCAAATGCATGTAAAATCTGTAAATCCTGTCTTGGTTATTGCTTTACAAAATAAGTGAGCCTCTGTTACAAAGAGGGCCATGTGGTAGTAGTTTTCAGCGCTGATCATGAGCTCCTTGACAATTGCTGTTGTACAGAAAGCCTAGGACCTGGGCACTTGAAGCAGAGAATTTCTGGCATGAGTCCATCAACAGAGGAGCATGGCACCAGCTACATGGTGGGGGAAGAGAGGCCATGTGAACTGTGAGGAAGCGTCAGGTATGCACTCAGTTCTATAACTGCAATGGCTATATAAACAGGAGTACTACAGCAGTGAAAAAATTTATATTTTCCACTGCATGTAGCCAAGCTTCTGAACCTTCACTGTATATACTGTAGCTTTGGATAAAAGGGGACTATACTCAGCCCTGGTAACAGCATTGCATGGGTTGGTGCCTGACTGGGTATCACACTTGTCAGTTTAATCTGCCTGAATATCCCTTTTGGACTCCTTCCTGCCAATTTAATTCTTTCTTACCCCTCCTCACCCCCCCCCACCCCCCCAAAAAGAAATACATGAATGGGCAAGAGATTCAGAATTATGCCTGAGCTATTCAGTCAGAGAAAACATTCAAAAGCATCTGAAATTTAACTTTGTGCTATTTTTGGAGAACAGATCCTACTTCTAACCATCACGTTGTAAAGGTGTTGCTGTTTATGAAGCTGAGTTTCATGTTTATCCTATGAACTGAATTTTTTGGTGTGAAAGATGTTGGTTGGTCAGAAGCTGACATTAAGTTCACCAGTTTTCACAGAGTTCACAAACTATATCCAGGTGGTTTTCTTACAGTTGAAATGCTAGTGCTGTTCATACATGTCATTGGCAATTACACACATGCAATATTTCTCCTTGTTATACTGATCAGCTTTCATTACCCAGGTAATGAGATTAAATCTGAGTTACCATTTTAAGAAATAACAAGTATATTTCTGCCATGCATACTTTAGAATATGATGAAATACATTCACCAATTTTTGCAATAATGTGTGCCTACTTTCTCTGAATATGATGAAATACACTTTTACTTCATTGCTGCTTGCCAGTACTTCTGATGTGGATGTCAGATGAGTTAGGATGATTAGGATGATTCTACTGAGGCAAGCTGCTTTCCGGATGTTCTCACTTGTTTGTTACTGTAGTTAGGGCAGGAGCCTATCTTTGTTTCTATTAGTTGCTTACCAGTATGGTCTCTTGGAGAGGAAAGTATCAAATGCTAAGATAAGCCCTAGTTATTGTAACAAGGTTTGGAAGAGTGTGGATTTTGCTGTTGGAAAATGTGGATTTTGCTGTTGGAAAGGAAGAAGAGTTTTAGGACTGAATTTTGCATAGTTAGAAACACCTTTACATAAGTTTGTGGATAAACCACTACATCCTGATGGTTGTGGGTGAACATTTATTCTCACTGGGGAGTGTGAAACCTAAGTGCTACAACTATTCTGGTCCTTGTTAACCATGCTTGGAGAGGTAATTATTGTGTATCTTGCAGCCCAATTTAATGGAAGTGAGAAACGACAAACATCTCCTTCTCCCTCAAATGACCAGCACAGGCAGTTAAGAGCACCTGGAGGAGGCTTTAAACCTATCAAACATGGCAGTCCAGAGTTTTGTGAGATCCTGGGAGAGAGAATAGATCCAAGTATTCAACTGGAAAAGCAGATGTAAGTAATTGCTCTCTAGCTCTTTGCCTCCCCAATTACAGAAGCAGAAAGTGTCCCAGATCTTCCTGTTTAGTTCCCCCTCCTCAGTTTCCCATGTTAGTGCAAAAAACTATTCCTGTTAATCATGTGATTAACTTTTGTGGGAGACAAAATACTTTTAAGCAGGAAATTCGTCTCGGGGAGAGTGAAATTTGTCTGCCAAGAATGTGTGATTATTCCACTTTCAACTGTGTCAATTAGGGAAAACAGATGCATATCACCTATATACAAATTGTGCTTTAAAGCTGCACAGATTCCATATCTTTATGGCTGCATAGCATGTTTCTAGTGCCTCAGATGTACCTTGCTTCTGTTTGTAATACTGCTCCACAGAGAGACTGATGAGACCACTTACAAAGTCTTCAGAAAAGAGGCATTTCAGCTCTGGTGGTGTGAAGCTTGAGGGTGGTATTTAGAGGCAGTTCTGTCAGCTCCAGACTCAAGTTCTGGGGGAATTCAATCCCTGTGAATGTCTGATATCCACAAAGGTGTCCTCTGTCCTGCCATATGATTACCCTTCCTTGAACCACTTTTACAGATTGGCTTGTGTGATGGAATGACCCGCTGTACCGTGTTATACCAAAGGGGCCAGAAGGGGCCAGAATCCTCTGCTACACAAATAAAATAAAAAAAATCTTTTCGTGGACCAGTTTGCACAGGTTACACTGATATTTCTGAGCACTGTGAAGCCAATGGATTCACACAGAAAGGCAAAGAAGTCATGTGTTGATGGGGGTGTGCTTTTTGTGAGAATACTTTGTTCCTGAGCATGCAAGTAGGCAAGTAGATTAGCAAGTTTCCCAAACAGGGAAAAATACCAAGGTGTAATAATATACCAAGAAAACACTTTTAGTTGTTTACTGGTGATTAAGAAAAATGTAACTATGAACTTAGTAACTCTTGGATCTAGGAGAGTTGAATGAATTTGTTCCACCTCCTCAGTAACACTGGAAAGAAGAAAGTATATTCTGCTGTTTCTGTTGTGTTCTTGAAAGTGAATCCCTCCCAGCCTTATGTACAAGACCTGATGACTTCCTGTTTTGCTCTGACCAATTCAAAAACAGAGTAATGTTGTGCATTATATGAGCTGTAATAACTTGTTATACTTACTGTATAATTGGTGCAGCTGTCCTGTTTTCAGTGGAGCTGCAGCCACTTCAGCTGCAGCTGAAACCTGGCTATTGAGAAAGTAAGGGACATCAGGAAGAATGTTCTATAAGCCACAGTCAGGACGCTTTCAGATTTGGTATCAGGTTAGCACTGTGTGCCTGTTTTCCAGGATATATTAGAAGGCGTGTATGTCTTCAGGTTTTTATGCCTCATGCTTTTTCATTGGTATCTTTCAGAAGCTGTCATTTCACTGTTTTGTCTTTGACCATCTGTACAAATACCTGTATGTTAACATTTAAAAAATAAACGCACCCAGGGCAAACTGACCCACTACAGTTGAAACAGCAGATTTGTCAGGAACTTTATCGCACCATGCTTATCTTGATACCTAGCTGGAGCAATCCCAGTGTTCCATTTACATGGGCATATGATTCACAAGCAATTACACTTGTGGCTACTGCTCTTTACTCTTGGCTGTAGCCAAAACAACTTCCATGGGTCACTTGTGAATCAAATATTCTCCATCAGCAGTTGTCTTCATATTTCACTGCTTTTCTTCCAACTTGTTTTAAAAGCAGATTTTGCTTACTGAAACCAGTCCTGCATTCTTTTTCTGTGAATCTCTCTGACAACTAAGAAGCACCAGTTCTGAACAATAGATGAAATAATTCCTTCTAAATGTCAGAGTCCAGGGTATCTCCCTGGTTTTGTCTGGGTCAGAAAAAAATATAGAAATAGGAAATAAAGAGAATAATTTTTAGACTGTCCTAAAACCATTTTCTGATTCACATTTAGGGTTAATATTCTTCCCTTACACTCAGAAGATAGCATAGTATTTAAATTACTTATTCAGAAATATCCTTCAGCAGTAAATATCCCATGGGAGATAGGAAGAACAGCCCCTGAAAACATTTGCATATGTGTCTCAATTTTATTTGTGAAGTGATGGAACTGTCAGGCACTCCCTTTCTAGTCTGCCATGAATATACAAATTTATAAACCTCTTTTTTAGCTTTCTCCAATGAAAACTGTGGTTGTAACCAGGCACACAATGAATTTTTAGTTTGAGCACCAACTTTTGTGTAACACATTCATCAGATTTGGCATGGAGCTGGCATCAGCACAAGGTAGTTAAGAGCAAGACTTCTGTCAAAAGGATCTGTCTGGTCTTTATTCACCTTTTAGTTGGAATATCTCCCTTAGAGTAAGTTTAGCAGATAAATAAAATTACAATAAATGGAAAAAATCTTTTTGCCCAAGGCCAGTGACAGTTCCTGGTAATAACACGTAGCAACCATTCCTCATGTAAGCATTATCCTGCTTAGGCAAGCATGATAGTGTCACACTGTGCTTCAAAGTGCATCTGGCAACTGCAGGAAGGGAGAGATCTTCCTCAGAGATGTGACTGACCCAGTGCAGGACCAGGCGCATTACACTGCTCTGGAAACTTGAGAGAAGGGTCAGTGTTCACTACTGTGACTGTGAGATTTTTATTGCTGTTCAGAGCAGCATGTGCTGAGGAGGTTCTTTGTTTGCAGTGGTCAGTCTAGTGAAGGACCTACCTCTTCTCTCCCCAGTTCCTTTCTTCCCTGAATCGATCACACCCACTCCACAGATCCACCAGAGTTTTACTTAAAGTGCTCTGATTTGTCACAGCTATGTTTAGAATAAGTGTCTTCATTATAGATCTTCACACTTTATCATTTTTTTTCTTTCTCAAAGATTTATTTTCACAAATGTTTTCCACTGTTAACTTTCGTATTCTTCAGATGCAATTTTCTTTTTGTTTGCCTTTGTTTCATTTCTTTTTGTTCTTTTGTATATTATTTGAAATATTGATATATCACAGATAATGCAACCAATGTGCTTTTTATTCATAATATGGATTTAGAAGACATCCATGCGATAATAACCATTATTCATACCTTAAAGAAAAGAAGTAGTGAAAGGAGTAGGAGTTGGAATGTGTATATTAATCTGCCTGCTTTTTCCTAGATGGTATCATGGAGCAATCAGTCGGACGGATGCAGAAAACCTCTTACGTTTATGTAAAGAGTGTAGCTACCTTGTAAGAAATAGTCAAACAAGCAAGCATGACTATTCTCTTTCACTGAAGTAAGTACTTATAAGTAAAAAAATAAATGTAATAAATAATAAATGTAATTTATAAGCTATAACTTTTCTGGTACAAGAATAACAAATGATCCAGTCTTTTGCTGCAGTGGTTCAGCTGAGAAGGGCACCCAGTGAGTTTGAGACTGTCAGTGTGCATGGTATATAGTGACAATCACTGAATTTAGGACCTTGTAATTTGGGGTTGTTAAGAGATTTTTAGTTTTCATTTGATGCCTATCTAACAAAATGAACTTGCTGTTTCTGCTTCAGGGTGAATAAGCAACTGTATTATTTGGGGATTTTATTTCTTTTGCTTCATACATGGAAGGAAAACTTTGTATGGTTTACTGGGTTACAGCTGTACAGTATTGCTACAGTTCTTGAAAATAAAAAGCCCAGGATCAATAATGAAAGATATACAGAATTAGGAAATGAGGATTGTTGTAGTCTCAGTGCTGCTTTGAACTTGCTACACCTAACTTAGACTGATTAGGATATATTACAGATGTTGGCTTCAACATGTCATAGAATGGTTTGGGTTGGAAGGAGCCTTCAAAGATCATCTAGTCCAACCCTTCTGCTAAGGGCAGGGACATAAGTTCACTTGCATTTCCAGCAGAGGAAGTTTCCAGGCACTCTGTGCAGGAGAGCAAAAAGCCCCTTGACCTTCATATAGGCTGTACATCTGCAAAGAGAATTGTTTCCTTTTCTTTCCTTGTTACAGGATAGGGTCTGATGTGGAACCTACCCTTCCAGGTAGGTCTGGGACACAAGCCTGTTTGATTTTTTTGCTAGCATTACTCCTGCCAGCTGGGCTTTTACATGGTTTCATAATAGGTCTGTTCTGGAGACACGTTTTACTGCCTGGGGATGATGGTGAAAGGTACACCTCCATAGACAGCAGCAAACCTAATCCTTTTTACATTCATAAGCTCCTTAGAAATAAGGGGCCACATCTACTCTACCTTGGTTTGGTCTGCCAGTCTTAAACAAGTGAATTCCAGATTGGGTTTGTATCTCCACTTTGGATTGAGTAGAAGTGCATGTGCTGTGTGATGGTCAAAGAGATTTCAAGCCTCTGTGTTTTTTCAGTTTTGTTGACTCCACTGCATTGTCTAAGCCAGCGTTCAGGTGGCTTCTTAGTCTTTCCCATGCTTCATTTTTGAGTGACATATATAAGACCCATTTCACCAGCACAGATATATGGGTTGTATTGAAGTGCTTAAACAAGGTGTGCATGGGGTAGTTGGCAGACTTAACTGTAGCAATCATCCATCCCCTCTTCAGATTGTACTGAGGATGTGTATAGCCCACTTCATAGTGGTGGCTCCACTGCTGGAAGTAAAATTATTTCTGTTTACAGAAAAATGCTGCTGAAATATTCAGTTGTAGACTTTAGTTGCTGCCTGATGTCACTGGCAGGCAGTTAATTTCCATGATGCTCACGAGGATATGAGTAGGATATGCAACTGGACTTCTCTTTTAAAAAAATCATAAAGGAGCTGCAGGCATTGGGTTGCTGGCATGAGCACTGTTGGAGTTGTGTGCAGGTGCCTCATCGCAGTGTTTTTGATAATGCCAACTGAATATAAGACTCTTTTTAATCATAGAATCAACCAGGTTAGAAAAGACCTTCAAGATCATTAAGTCCAGCTGTTGCCCCAGCACTGCCAAGGCCACCACTAAACCAAGTCACTCAGCGTTTTGTCTACATGGTTTGTGAATAATTCCAGAAACAGTGATTCCACCACTGCCCTGGGCAGCCTGTTCCAATGGCTGACCACCATTCGGGGAAGAAATTGTCCTTAATATCCGGTATAAACCACCCCTGGCGCAGCTTGAGGCTGTTTCCTCTTGTCCTATTGCTTGTTCTTTGGGAGCAGAGACCAGCCACCTCCTGGCTCCACCCTCCTTTCAGGCAGTTGTAAAGAGCAGTAAGGTCCCCCTGAGCCTTCTCTTCTGCAGACTAAACAGCCCCAGTTCCTTCAGCCGTTCCTCATCACACTTGTACTCCAGGCCCTTCACCAGCTTCGTTGCCCTTCTCTGGAGCTGCTCCAGCACCTCAATGTCTCTCTTGTAGTGAGGGGCCCAGAACTGAACACAGGATTCGAATTGCGGCCTCACCAGTGCCCAGTACAGGGGATGATCACTGTCCTGACCCTTCTGGCCACACTATTGCTGGTAGAGCCCAGGATGCCGTTGGCTGTCTTGGCTGCCTGGGCACAAGCTGGCTCATGTTCAGCTCCGTCAGTCAGCACCCTGTCTATATGCACATGTACACACACAGAGATATCATTCCCATAGTCCCTGGACTGCCCTTATAAAGGTTTGTTGAGTTCATTGAGTCCATGATGTTGGGCTATAACAACATGATTGGGTTATAACAGTCTTTTTGGGGCAGGAAACGTGGTTTGTGGTGCTGGATTGCTGAATACTGAAGCCAGTTCTGATTCCATCACCTCTGCACTTTTCTGGTTAATTCTTCATTAATCAAAGGGACATGGGTTCCAGTTCTCACATCTGGAGACAGATGCCATGAGATGCCCAGTGTCCAGTGATGGACATAGAGCCACCATAGGCATACAACCAAAGTGACAATGTATACAGTGTTATGTAGCAGTTGATATCATATAGTTTAATTTATTGGCTATTCTCACCCAAAATCAAATCCCCATAAGGCACAAATTAACTGCATTACCCACCAAGTGAATCCAGGTTCTATTGCAAAACCCCCTTAATCCTACCTCTTTGATGTTTTGATTCAAAAATCATATGCCATGACTTAACATATTGGACTGTGACTGAATTGTGACTTTGTGAGCTGAAATGCCAGAACTATATCAGCAATGCCTCAAGGCTGCCTATGGGACCCTAAAGGTCTCTAGATCAAGTGCTGTCCAGACTGATCCACTCCAAATGGTAGCAGACCCAAGTGTGCCTGTCTTCAGGCTCTCCCTGTCAGAGACCACTGTGTGCTACACAGCAGGTCTTTAGTAGTCTGCAGAGGCTTAAGAGCAGCAACGGCTTTTATTCTCTGACAGAACTGGAGGACTGCTATCCTTAGTTATTTGCAGTACCCCTTGTACTTGAAGTCTGTCTGTCCCTAGCGCCTGCGTGCTTGGTGGTTTTTGTCAGTGCTAGGAGATGTGCAAGTGCAATGGAAACTAGGCATAATGTATTCACCATGGGCTATTGCACAGTGCTTTGAAAGCCTTACTGAACAAGATTGTCCCGCGATCCTTTGCTTGGGAGAAACGTGTTCATGTTGTTTGATTCCCATTAAAGCACATAGCACCTTCTCTTGGCTTCTTGTAACCAAAGGGAGGGGGTTGGGTTTTGAGGCCACTGCTACTGTTGTGTGTCCTTGAGCTGATGTGTCTGTTCAAATAGTAGATTACTTGTGATTCACAAAAGCACATCCTTGGTTACATTTCTTGCCAGAAGCAAAAGAGGAAGAGAACAAAGGCCTCCTAGAAATATCTGAAATCAAAAGGTTTACTAGATCTTAAGTATAATATCTCTCAGCTTCTCCACCTCTGTCAAGTCTCGTGACTTTCTGCTTTCTTTTCTGTGTTGTTTCTAAGAACATACCCCCTTCTCACAAGGTAGGAGAATTGCCAGGGTAGAGCACCAAGTCCTCTATCAGCTGTGTGGTCTCAAAGAAGACTGAATGAGACCTCAAGGCCTCAGTGTCTGTTGGTTGTGTGAAAACCAGCTCCCAAAAAAGAATGTTGTCAGACTTGAAGAAGCAGGTGGAGTTGTCTTGAGCTTGGACCCTCCACATGAGACTGGAAGGCTCTCTGATTTATAGGAGGGAAGGGAGTACTACCCCACAGCTGGGCACAGTAAACCAAGTAAAACCTGTTGGTGTAAGGTTCAACAGCCAAACTGAAGGGGCTCACAAGAGGAGTACTAGAATGTATACTAGATTTGCCTCTCCTAGAGTCCAGCTTTAATGAATGTTTTCTACAATAGAACACTAGAGCTGCGTCTGGGTGCTCCTTAAGGCCTGTTTCCCAGTTCAGCTCTGTTGAAATGGAAATTCAGGCCACAGGAGCCCTGAAGCAATGGATATGGTCTCTGCTATGACTCTGCTTTGAACATGGGAAAGCACTGCTGAAGATTAAGCTATCCAGGCTTCCTCTGGCAGTGTATTGGACTAGAGTCCTAAAGTGATTATCAAATTTGTCCTTGGTTACCTAATTGAGTTTGACATCTTGCTGTTACTTTCTTTGTGTAATAAGTTTGAGGAGAAATTGCTTTACTCTTTAAACATGTTGATTAAAAATTATGACTGGCTGCAGAAGCCTTAATGAAATACTTTCAAATAACCACAGTCACTTTTCAATTGCTAATTAATGTGCTCTGAAAAGCACTTACCCACCTGTAGCCTGCATCCTCCCATTAGGCTGTGGGATAGGGATACATCAGCCTGTGATATAGTAAGGGATAGGCAGAATATCTGTATACTCACATGCGTGACTACGTGAAATAAAGGATTACACATATTGAAGTATCTGTGAACGAGAGATAACATGGAAAATATTATGGAAAAGTTGGATTTACACAGAGGCACACACATACACAGGAATGAACTCATAGTTCCCCCTTGTGCTGTGAGGAGCATTTGACTGTTGTCATCTTGTGGCAAATCCTTTAATCTGTGTTGAGAGCAGAGTCTGCTGTGAATATGACTGATATCTATGCTTATGAGGGTTGACTAGAAAAAGGCAGTGAATTACAGTATGAAGTTTATGGGACCGTACTACTAGAACTGTCACTGCAAAATGTGCAGAAATTGTTGTCACAGAACATTGTTCTGGGACAAATAATAAAATGGTCTTTGTTGTGTAACTGCATAAATGAACGATATTAAAGAATAAAAAGATAGGGATTTAATTTAGTTGGGTTTTTTTTTTGGTTTTGTTTTTTGTTTTTTTGTTTTAATCATGCTGGAAATATATTGTCAGGAGACTGACAGAATTCTGGCTACAATGGGA